CATAAATAGACATCTTCTCTGTGATAAGAGCCATGATGAGGAGTGCTGTGGGAGTTGTCAGGGTGGAGCAGCTGGCTCTGCCTCAGGAAGTCAGGCAGGTGATGTTTGAGCAATCTTAAAGGCGTTAGTTATGTCAACAGTGGGAGAAAGGGAATTCCATTTAAGGAGAAGAGCATGCACAAAAGCCTGAAATCTTGTGATGTCCTTAGAGAAAATATAGTGTGGTTTGAATGCAGCAGGGAAACATGCTATTTGAAGTTGAGGGCTCGTGAGTACCAGAGGGGGGAAATGAGGCCCAAGATGTTAATGGGCCTACTCATGAAAACCTTGTAAGCCATACTGTGTGGTGTAGACTTTGCCTTCCCAACACTGGGAGGCTGTAAGGATTTTATGTATAAGCAAGATAAATGCATGGCTGTGGGGGACAGGTTGTCTTACTTGTCCTTAGCAGGTCTGTAAGGCAGTCAGGATGTGTACTGTTACCTACTTTTTACACCTGAGAACACTGAGGCCTGAAAAGTTCAATACCTTGCTGAAGGTCTCAGAGCCAGAAAGTGAAGGATCTAGATTTCACCTAATTCCTGGCACTGAATCGCTTTCTCTGGGCACACTGCCATTGTTAACAGAGTCTTCTAGAAAGCTGCTTGCAGCTGAGCACTGGGTAGATGCTGACAAGAGCAATATGAAGCAAATGATCATTGATACAATCTTGCTGAAGGAGTGCCGCCCTGGGATTTTGTGGCCTGTGGTGTTCAGTCTCCGGACCTCTATGCCAGCACATAGACAGCAAGAAGCAGTGGGGAGTGTTGAGCTTCAAGCTCTACATTGCCTTGACAAAATCCACTCATCACTGTCTCCCTCATTAATTCAGGGCAGCATTTGCTGCCTGATCCTGGCATTTGTCAGTGACTTGTTTCTGGAAGTCCCTGGTCCTCAGGTTGGTCAGCGCTGCAGTCAATATTCCCAGAGGGCACCCTAGCAGAGGTAGGCCTGCATTTTGCAAAACGAAATGATTATATATTTTTTAAAACGTAGGTAACATGATATAACAGTACAGTATACAGAGCATGAAGATTGGGCAGACCTGGGTTTTAGTTCTGCTGTTGCTGTTTAATTTATATAAGCCTCAGTTTTCTTATCTCTAAAATGAACAAAGCCAAATCCACCTGAGAAGATTATGGTGACAGTTAAAATGTGATAATGTTTTAAAGTGCCTTGCACATATAAGTCTTTAATATATGGCGACTTTAATTCCTGCTCTTATCACTGCCCCATAATTAAAGAAGATTTGAAAAACAGAATAATACAACTATTCTTATATTTCATTGTAGTTCCTTCAAATATTTTTCTCCACTACTTTAGAACATATCAAATTTTTGTAGCATTTAATTTTACAAATTTTAAAAATAAATTTTAAATTGTTTGGTTTATAATTTTATTATCAGATTTTTTTTATCCCTCTAATGGGATCTGCAGTGTGTGTGTGTGTGTGTGTGTTTCCTGATAATAAGAATAGTGTGTAAAACTCAAAGCATATCAGAAGCAAAAGGAAAAAATAAACTCATAATGCCTGCCTCATTCCTAGGCCAGAGGTAATCACTGTTAACATTATGATGTATTTTCTTCAAGTGTTTTATTTTCTTTTTGAGTTAACATTAATACACAAAACTGTACAGGTTACATTATCTCATCATGCCCGCAACTAAATGTCTAGTCACCATCTGCTACCTATTGGCCCATTTTGCCTTTTCCTCCCACTTACTTCCCCTCTGCTAATGCCATTCTGTTTACAAAATTAAGGTTTGTTTTTGTTTTCTTTATATTCCACAAAGGAGTGAAATCATATGGTACTTGCTTGTCTCCTTTTGTCTTATTTCAATTAGTATAATCCCCTTAAAGTCCATCCATCTTGTCAGAAATTGCAAGATTTCATCCTTTTCATGGTTGAGTAGTATTCCATCACATGTGAATATCACATATTCTTTAACAGTCACCCTTTTGAGTTGGGCAGTTGGGTTGTTTCCATATCTTGCCTACTGTGAATAGTGCTGCAGTGGACATAGGGATGAATCTGTCTTTTCAAGTTAGCCTTTTCATAGGTAAATATCCAGAAGTGGGATTACCGGGTCATAGGCTAGTTCTATTTTTTTTGTGAACCTGCCATACTGTTTCCCATGTGGCTGCATCATTCCCGCCAACAGTGGACAAGGGTTCCTTTTTCTCTTCTTCACTGCCAGCATCTATTATTTCTTTATTTTTTTGATAATAGCTTTTCTATCTGGTATGAGGTGAAATGTTGTGGTTTTGTTTGGCATTTCCTTAGTGATAAGCCATGGTAAGCCTCTTTTCATGTGTCTGTTGTATATTATTGGTGAAATGCCTGTTTAGGCCCTCTGCCCATTTCTCAATCAGGAGTGTCGCATGGGGATTTTGTGGCCTGTGATGTTCAGTCTCCTGACCTCAGTGATAGTGTATAGACAGCAAGAAGCAATAAGGTGCTGTTTGGCTGTTGAGTTGTAGGAGTTCTTTATATGTTAACCCCTTGTCTGATGTGTGGTTTGCAGACATATTCTCCCATCCAGTAGGCTGCCTTTTCATTTTTGACAGTGGTTTCTTTGGCTGTGCAGAAGCTTTTTAGTTTGATATAGTCCCATTTGTTTGTATCTCCTTTTGTTTCTCTTGCTGTTGGAGATAAATCCACAAGACATCAGTAAGATCAATGTCAAAGAGCTGTTGACTTCTGTTTTTTTCTGTCTTATGATTTTAGTCCTTACATACAAGTCTTTAATCCTTTTTGAGTTGATTTCACTTCCTCTGGTCTTTTACAATCATGTTGTTTTATAGATCATATTATATATACACTTTTATGCAATTTTTCAATTCACATGGTATTGGGTATTTTCCTATTACTGTAAGCTTCATCTTCCAAAGATACATACTATTTTATCAGATAGTTCTACCACAGTTTATATACATATTCTGCTATTGTTAGACATCTAAATTTTTCCCAATTATTTAAGAAACCTCCTGTGACAGAACGTAGGGAACCAGTCTCAGCCTACCAGGAAGTGTGTGATGGACTTTGTTTGCTGTGTGTGTGGCCCTGGTTGAGGCCCAGTGTGACTCCCCCCATAAATGAGATTCAGAGCCTGATGCAAAGAGTTCAGAGACCAGACAACCTGGAAATGTTTACCAGGGTGAACTGTATTGGTGTTTCTTTACCAGACACTGCTAGAGAGTTCACCTAAGTGTGGGTAGCCCTCATTCCTCTGGAAGGAGGGGTCTGGGAAGCTCTTACAAGGAAGAAAGCCTAGAATGTCTTGCTGCCCCTTCTCATCAACTAACATGTTACTTGGCTTTTTGAATCTGTTAGCTTAAATCTTGGAACCTGTGCTGATTACCTTTGAACATCACTTCCAAGAGAACCTGTAGCATTGAGAAAGTTGCCTTTGTGGGAATCAGGACAATCAGAATGACTCTTAATTTTTGACACACACCTGCTGACACCCAAGGCAAATTGCCTCCTTTCCGTAAGCCTCAGTTTTGCCCCCGTAATGTTGAAATATTGGACCATACAATCTTTAGCCCATCCAACATTGACAGTTCATGAGTACCTGATACCCTACTAATGCTAGGAGCTAAAGTAAGCACCCTGGTAAAGGTCACAAGATGCTTCTCCAGAGTAAGAGTTCCTTTCATTCACCCCTGAGGAAATTCTTTGTTTTCACATTCCCAACCACTTCTAGCAGTAGACATGGGTGGAGACTGAAAGGCAAGAAATGTCTCTCACTGGGTATAAATTCTGGATTCAGAGCCCAAAGTGATGTCTTTTATGTGCTAGATCTTTGTTCTTTTATGTATTTGGTTCTTTTACTCATTCATTTAGCAGAGTTATGGATCTTAAGAAATCCATTTTTGCAATATAGGGATGAATGAGCCTCAGCCCTGTCCTGAAGACACAAGTAGTCTAGTGAGGTTATATGAAAAATGTCAGAGGCAGTGAGATTAGTAAACTACGACAGGGTTCATATATAAGTTGCATAGTGAAAGGAGTGCTTGAGTTTATCTCAAAGCAATTACAAAGGAGTGAGGTGAGTGCTTTCCGATTTTAGAAGCTGAAAATAAGTTTTCTAGATGGGCAGTTGAGAGAGGCACTCAAGCAGAAGGAAAGCCTGTGCAAAGGCCTAGAGGTGTAAGAGACCGCGTCATGTTCTGAGACCTGCAGATTGTTTGTGTGGCTACCGGTGAGAGTGAGCTGACTAGCAAAGTCGGGCATTTCTCCTTAGACAAGTCTGTTCCACTGAATTCTTTGCTCATTTTATCAGTCCAGGTGAGAGGGATGGGTTTTTTAGCCCAGTTTTGTAAATCTGTCACTTACATTGCCATATATTTCCATTTTTGTGCTCATTATAGAAAGTTTGAAAAACAAAAAACAGTAAAGAGGAAAGGATGAAAAGACCACGTATGGTCTTATTGCTTAAAGGGGAAAAAATCCCATATTTTCTTTAAAAAAAAAAGATTTGTTTTATTTATTTATGCATAAAAGAGCTGGGGTATAGGCCAGAGGTGCTAGGGGGTGACAGGCTTCACCAGAGGCAGAATGGGGAGCAGAACAGGCAGATTGACTAAAATACACTGCTGACGGGAGCAGTGGGTGAGACAGGAGAGGTCTGCTGTGCCATATGGGTCAGCTTCGTGGCCAGAGATTGAACTAATGCTGCAATGGCTGCAGATAGCTTCATAATGCTGAGACTTAACCCCTTGTGCCACTAGGGAGGCCCCCCAAAATGTGTTTTCATGCCACATAGTATTTTTTTCTTTATGTGGCAATATGTTGTAGCTATAGTCTTACCCTTTGTATATGGCATCCCTGTCTATGTACTTCCTAAAAATTTCCCCCAAAAGGGATAGTATCTTTGAAAATAACTGTGATCCTAAAAAATATACTGATGCAAATATCTTCACTTCCTTTCATGTAACTTATTTTCTTTCTTTCACAGGTCTCTTGTGGCTCAGAGCATAATCTGGCAGTGGTTGGTAAGTGATTACTATACTAGTACCCTTGTTTATCCTGAAACTGTGGCAGAGTTAGAGAAGATTCTTGGTTCACTAGTGGTCAGAGAGTGTGTATCAGTGCAGCTTCTTGGAAATGGTAGTCTTTGGTTGACCAAGACTACTGAAATCCCTTTTTCTAAGAATTTCATTCCTCATCATTGAGTATTTTTAAAAAATAGTATAATAGTTTATTTTTACATCATTCTGTGCATTTTTCCATTTCAGTTGTAATCCCCGTGGGTCACTGAGTATTTCTTTAAGGTGCCTGAGCTGGCCTTCCTGCCTCAGGAAGAGGTATTTGAGAATGTTAACGGTCTTACAGACTGGGGGCATCTTATGTAGGAAGCTCGAGAGAAAAGGGGAAGAGGATTGGGTAGTTCCTGCTTCTTTCAGTAAATCCCTTACAGCAAGTTCTGTCTCCTGGATTGGCTCTTTGGAAACACGGGACTCTGCTCATTGCCCTCACTGCCTTGTATTTTATGGCACTCAGGAATTCCCTGTTAAAGCCAAACCGCTGATTCATTGAGGTTTCCTCTGGATTACCAGGGCTCACTGTTTTTATAATGAGGCCTATGAGTAATTCCTTCAAAAGAAGCCTTCTTAGTACCTTCACGGACAGACTCAATCTCACGTCACAGGACGCCAAAGAGGCTGAAGTATAGGGTCAGATGGCCCGAGTTCAATGCAGGCTTCCACTATTAGTGTTACTGTATGAACTTGGATGAGATCCTGAACCCTTTGATGCCTTATTTTTCTCATCTTTAAAGTGAGAGAGAAAAAAATAAAATAGGAGGGCAAGAACCTCTACTTCATAGGGTTGTTGTGTGACCTAAATAAATTGATATATGTAGAGAATGAAGAACAGGATTTAGCTTCTAACAAGGGTAGAAATGTTAGGTTTTATTAACTTGATATCTCTAGTTTAAATAATTGATCTCCTGTGGATTTTAGCTCCCCCATTTGTAAAATGGAGAAACCAAAGCAAAAAAAAACCAAGGTCCCTTCCAGCTGTGACATTTTAAGTCTCTATTATAACCTCGTCACTGTCTGCCTGTTGTGGGTGATTTCTGTTTCTGCCTACCTTCTCCTAGCTTCTCACTGTAAACTTCTGAAGAGTAAGGCCTCTGTGTTTTCTTTTTGCTTCCTGCCTGTTTGCAGCAACCAAAGCCCCGCCTGGCACTCAGCAGAGACTCAAGCACTCTTTTCTGAATTGAGCTAGACTGGCCCCACTGCCTGGGGAGGCAGCAGTTTGAGGCACTATTTTGCAGGCCTGAATGAGATGTGCAAGGAGGCAGAACCAAGGACAGCAGAGGAGGTAGACTGCCTGCCGGCAAGGGGAGGGGCCGGGTTGTTAGTGAAAAGGGCTGGAGTCAGAGAAGGAGCAAGGAAATGTTCACAGCAAGCCTGCATGCTTTGTAGCAGCACCAGATACTTTATACCGGAGCTGCTGTAGCCTGGGTGTAATTAAGACAGGCTAATCAGAGAATCAGAGGCAGTGCCTAGGATGTTGCTACTGCAGCTGTCTCTGCACTGGGCAAGGCTGGCTTCCTCTGGGATCAGCACAAGTAAGAAGATTGGAGGGAATCGAAATCTATGAAAGTACAAAATCCAGATTTGGGGGTGGAGGCCAGCAAGCAGGGCGGCAGGCTGAGCTGCCAGAGGCAGCCTTGTTTCAACCAGCTCTCTCTGGGTTTGCTGCCATGTTTCCCTCACCTATGTCAAGAATCATTCCGCTTTGCAGGATTGTTGTCATGAGGATTAGGTGAGAAAGTGTATGTGAAATACTTGGCATAATGCAGGAGTATTAAATATCTATAATTTTCATTTCCCTTGGTTAGGGTGATGAGAGGACAGAATCTCTTGGTGGTGTAACTGTTCTAGTGAAGTATTTCTTGGGGGACAGAAGGTTCTGGAAAGGCGTATCCAGCGTTACCCGAGTGAGACCATCAGAGGCACTAGGGGAGCAGGGCATGTGATGAACGCCTTGAGGGCAGACCTGTTATTTTCGGTCTGTCTGCAGCACTGAGAACATGGCGCACCGTCCATTGAGTGCACGGTTTCAGTTAGGAAATATGCACCTCACGGGGTTCTGGACATATCTCCCTGCCTGCCTGTGAGCTGAGAGCAGAGGCTCCCTGCAGCCAGAGGAATGAGGCCCTCAGTGGGTGCCCTGCAGGGTGCAAGTTGTGCACTATGAAGTGACAAGAAGCCGCCTGCTCGCCCTGGCAGGAGGCCAGCGACAGGGAGACAAACCGCAGAAGAGTGCTTACTCGTTAAAAGCCTGGCTCTGACTTCGGCTTCTCCCCTCAGTCCCTCTGCTGTTGCCTACTTCAAGTGGGTTTCTCTGCCTTCAGTCTCCTTCCCCAAGAGCCAGCCCCTCAGAGGTGGGGACTGTGTCCCGCCCACGGCAGGCACAAAACAGTTACAGAAATGAAGAAGGCAGACTTTGTTCAAGGGTATAAAGAGACCTAATGTCTAATGAATGTGCCACAGACAAGTCAAAGCGGAAGGAGAGGTGAAATAGATGGCTGAAAGGGCATAACTGAGGGCACACGTGGCTTTAGGTGATGGACACACCTCCGTGAGGTGTAATTGTCGCACCCACTGTATAGAGAAAGGAACTGAGACTCAGAGGTTAAACAGGTTAACAGGTTGCCCAGGGTGAGTGGCAGCCAATGGTAGATCTGCCTGCCGGCCAGGACGCTCTTTATCAGGTCCAAGGACCTGTGGCCCTGAGGGTGGTGGTTAAGAAGGGCACAGACATTTGGGACTGATAACCTGGTTTGATTTGTCCTGGTCTTCCACATACAAGCTATGTAACCTTGTGTAAATAGCGTAACCTCTCCGTGTCTTGATTGCCTCTTTCTAGAAAAAAATCATAATATTGACTTTACAGAGTTGTTACACAAAGTGCTAAGAGCAGTGCCTGGCACAATAGTACAAAGTCAGTACATGTTAACAGTGACAGCTATTATTATATTGAGGCTTCAAGGGAGGAAGCACATAACTGAGCTGCAAGAAGGCCTGAGGTTGCGGGTAGGACTCTTAGCAGCTAAAGAGAAAGAATCTTCCCCACCCAGACTCAAGGTTCAGAGTAGGTCTCAGAGTAGCTGTACAAAGGATTTGTAAACTGGAGCCTGGGGACCTTAATCTGGGCATTCTGGATACCCAGCAACCCTGAAACAGTACTGACCCAGATTTATTCCAGGTCAGGGTTCTGTTCCCTTTGTCCCAGGGGCCTGCATATGCCAGCTTGAGGAAAGTCCCACAGCAACCTCTTCTCAGGTTTCTCAGGGGATCACAATAATGCCACTCGGCTATTTCCTTCTAGGTTTCTTTCCTTCTTTTGCAGTTTGCTTTGGTTTTTCCCTGAATTTTCCAGTGAAATTTCTCTTGACGTGTTATGTGTTTGCTGCCAGGCACCCCCAGGGCTAGGTAGGATGGTGAGGTATGAGAGTTTAAAGAAAGAAGATCTGCTGCAACTCCATAGCATATATAGAGAAACCCAAGTGACACTCAGGGGGGCACGAGCAGAGGCCGGTGGCCACACTGGCCTGGCCACACTCCCGCTGCATGCCTCCTTTTACTCACTTTGCAGCACTGGACCTGCATTACTACATCCAGGTCCTCTTGTAAAATCATCCTCACGAATACGCATCGCTACAAGTTGTTCTTCCCAGAGGCACAGGAGCGTCAGGTACCTGCTGAGCACCTGTCCGTGATAGCAGGCACGTCCTGCAGGCTCACTGCTGGGCTGCGCTCTTCCTTCCCATCCAGGATTTTCCTCCATATCATACAAAGCTGGCTGGCTGCCTGGCTCCTATTCACAGGCCTAGACTGGGGTCAGCAGAGGTGAGCTGGGGGCACGTAGCCACCACTGACTCAGAATACCCTGCCTGCCAGAGACAGGCTCCCCGGGCCCACCTTGTCTTCAGGGTCCTCACCTCCCTGTCTGGCTGAATTGGCTCCAGCTGTTTTGCTTCCCCCAGGAGCAGCTTATTTTGGCTTGAATGGGCAATTTGTTTGCCTTCTCTCCTGATGTGCAGTTGTTCAGCCTCCCCTTCCTGCAGAGAAAAAAAAAGCTGACTGCATTTCCTCTCTCCTAGCTCCACACAGACCCTTGGAAAGGATTTTATTGGTGGCCTTTTCCTGGAGCACACAGGCTCGCCAGACAGGCATTGTTAAAGGGTTAGATATTTGGCAGGGAAGTGTGGTATCTCCTCCTCCTCTAAGCAAAGCCAGTTCTTTCACCAAATTGCAGCTATAATCTATGCAAGGATCTTTTTTCACCCCTCCATTTCACTGATGATTTTCAATTGTTGAACCTTTGTACCATTGTAATATATGTGGCAGAACATCTGATCTGGGCCTGAAACCCATCAAGCAAAGTCATATAAGAAGTGAATAGACAAAACTTTTTTTTTTCCTTTGAAAACTGGTGATGCCACTGAGAGACATCATCTCCAAATCCTGAGCCTATGGGGAAATTAGAGGGTAGGACAAGCTTGTGCTGTACACAGCATGACAGGCAGAGTGTGATGACTTTACCTATATTATGCCATGAACCCTCACAGCAGTTGATGGATTGGCACATTCACCTTTTTTTTTTTTTAAAGATTTATTTATTCGTACAGAACTGGGGTACAGGCCAGAGATGTGGAGGGTGAGAGGACTCACCAGAGACAGAGTGAGGACCAGAACAGGTAGATCAATGAAGTACACTGCTGAGGGGAGCAGCAGGCGGGTCAGGAGAGGTCTGCCGCGCCATGTGGTCACCTCCGGGGCAGGCGGGGATTGAACTCATGCGGAAGTGGCTTAAGCTTCTTAGTGCAGTGCTTTAACCCACTGCGCCACCAGGGAGGGCCCAACTTTTTTTTTTTTTTAAAGATTTGATTATTTATGCATACGGAACTGGGTACAGGCCAGGGGTGCAGGGGTGGTGAGAGGATTCACCAGAGACAGAGTGGGGAGCAGAACAGGCA